CTCCTGCATTTAGCTCCTGGGGGGCTTCAAACCCTGCAGAGCCAGAGTTTCAAGTGTGTAGCTCCCCTTATGCCACGGCCACTGTATTGGTCCCTGCAAAGCTGGCCCGTGTGCACCAGCTCCTGGGAAACGTGTGTTTGGAGAGCCCCGTCCCGTATCAGTGGAGAGCCACTGTCCAGAGACGCCAGATTGCACTGGGAGGAGGCTCAGCCGTCCTGTCTCTGGATGGCGTGTGGGACGAGACGGGCCCCTGGTCTCCACACAGCTGTGGGGGAGCTTTTGGGGACAAGCTCACCAGGGCCCCCATTGGTGACTGGGAGCAGGGCGGGGAGCTGGAAGTCAGGACTCCTGAATTCTATTCCTGCCTCTAGGAGGGGAATGAGACCTAGTGATGGGAGCAGATGGAGGCAGGACTTCAGGTTTCCATTCCTGGATCTGCAATGGGATGAACCACCCCATGCCTCAGTTTTCCCACCTGTAGGATGGGGTCAATAATTCTGCCTTAACCTCCCAGGACCACCTGTCAGGGTTTGAGTGATTCGTGGGCATAAAGGGCTTTGGGACTCGCAGGGGTTCTGGCTTGCGGAAAGAGACATGCAATCCAAGCTGCCGTGACTCACAGAGATTTCAAATAGCAGGGCTGGGTGCAGGGACAGACATTTTTCAGCTGTCACATGCTGTTTTTCTCAGTTCAGCTGTCATGTAATAAGGGGAGCAATGGGGAACAAATCCTCCATGCTTATTAAAAGGATTCCAGCAGCTTCATCATGCCCTAGGTGTTGCACAAACACAGGGAAAAAAAGAGTCCAGGCTCCAAAAAACTTCGGAGTCCCCACTCCTGGCTGTGGGATTAGAGTTGGAGGCTCACACCAGTGGGCCCAGCTAGCCCAGTATCCCATCCCTCTGCTCCGTATACAGCCAACAGGCCCATCTAGCCCTGTCTCCCATTCTGTAGCTTCAGCAGCTGCATCTCACAGCAAAGGATTGTGGGTAGCAAATCACTCACTGTGCCTCAGTTTCCCTACCTGAGACAGTGACTTGGAGGGGTTCATTGCTGCTATACATTGCTTCAATCACATAAATGGAAGAAGATCGTCCCTTCCATGCTCGACTAGGTCTGCATGCCTGCCCACACCACCTGCTGTCGCCTGCCCTGCCCCATTCCCTGCATGGCGGGTGTGGCTTGTTTCATTGCAAACACACTGACAAATTGTGTGTAGGTTGGGGGATTGCAAAAGGGCAGCACCTTGAGTCCTGAACCCAGAAGTTTGTCATATCAGGAGCTGAGCCAGTAGAGAGCTAACCAGGCACAACAGGGCCCAGATCTCAGCCAGGGTCTGGGCAGCGCCCGGTACTCTGGTCAGTCAGGGCCCTCACTGCCCCCAGGCACGTTTAATGGATGCATTCTCCCACCCCTGTTCCCTTAGCTGGGTTCCCACCTCCCTGCCACCCTAGGCCGCCTTATCAGAGGGTCATTGGCCTGTTAGCCACCCAGCTCTTCCCAGCCCCACATTGCAGCTGTGCCTGTGGGGGAAGGGTGCTTGGCGCAGGTAGCCACCGCCTCTGTAGCGCCTGTCTGGGAGATCTCCTTGCCCGGATGTGCCTGCCAGGGTGGGGCAGGGCCCCGATCCCCAGGGGGGCCAGGAGAAGGTTGAAGATTCAGCACTCGCAATACTAGAGAATCCACAGGACGTTTAATGAAAGGCCCTATGCCCAGCGCTGAACCAACAGCACCACCCATAGCACCACGGCTGAATACTGCGCTGGAGCGGCGTTGGAACCTGTCAGAGCCATGGTCCTGGGGAACAGCCACCAGCAAATGGGGACCCCCCAACTGCCAGCAGCAACACCTGAGAAGAGCAGCTGGACACCCCCAAGCGAGGGGGCGGGAAGGAGCAGTTACATCCTGAGCCATGTTCCCCCGGGGAACAGAGCCCCCTCCCTGAGATTTCCACAGCTGGAGGAGTGTCTGTCCACCTGGGTGAAGCGCACACCTCCCAGATCGGGGCGTGGCCGGAGCACGCTGCACTGTGGCTGGTCTCTGCCCCCCAGGGTCCATAGGGGCTGTTAGGGGTGTGGCTGGAGCGCGCTGCGCTGTGTCTGGTCTCTGCCCCCAGGGCTTGTAGAGATCTGTCAGGGTACGTCCCCCAGGGGGCAGACACATATGGCCCCAAAGTGGCTGTTGGTTAACATTAGGGCTGTCGACTGACCTGCGTTAATGCCTGTGGGTACGTCTACACTACAGCGCTAATTCGAACTAACGCATCCAGACTAAAAAACTAGTTCGAATTAGCGTTTTGCTAATTCGAACTAGCATGTCCACATTAAGTGGACCCAGAACCGAGCTTAAGGATGGCCGGAAGCAGTGCCGGCAGGGCATCAGAGGAGGACTTAGAGCGTGGAGATGCTGTCTCAGGCTAGCCGAGGGCTGTGTTTAAAGGGTCCCGACCACCATCCCGGACAGACAGTTCTCAGGGTAACCCGCTTGCAAAGCAGTCCTGACTTGGAGTGCCCGGACTACCCACACTGGGAACATCACAGCACTCGGCCATCAGCCCGGCTGCACTTGCCGCAGGCTGCCATCTGGGCAGAGAGGGCAATTGGGGGGCTGCAGGAGACCTTCCACCCCCAGAAGCCCGCAGAGCCAGCCCAGTCCTCCCCATCGGGGGCGCGTACCCCATTCCTCCCTCACCTCCTTCCACTTACCCTTCCCTAGCCCCTCTTCTTGATGTACAAAATAAAGATAACATTTCTTCCGAAATGGAATCTGTCTTTATTGAACAAAACTGGGGGAGACTGGGAGGCTGGGAGAGGGAAGGGCAACTAAAATGATCAGGGGTTGGGAACAGGTCCCATATGAAGAGAGGCTAAAGAGACTGGGACTTTTCAGCTTAGAAAAGAGGAGACGGAGGGGGGA